TCTGGGGCATACGCCCACGGTGTGCGGCCACTCCGCCACCCTCACCGTGCTCTCTGCTGTTGCATAGCCCCGGTGTCCAAGCCGGGGCGTCAGGATCCAGTCTCATTTTGCAGCTACCAAAGCTGGCGGCTCAGGAGCTACCCCGATCTCACGACAGCAGTAACTCTCAACCGCCAAACTCAGGATCCCCCTCTAAACAGCAGTGCTAGGGACCGTATATCCGCCTTTGCTGGGTGGTCTTTCGAGGTCTAGATCCACTTGCGGAACCTCGGTCTACCCCAGGGACGGGGGGGGCAGGTCGGGGAGTCACGTATGGTAAGATATAGAAGATGATCACCGCAGGGGAGATCTCGAGATGTAGACTATGCTGCTTACCCGGGGCACACGCACACAGATTGGTTGGTCGTCATCAGTCATCATGCATTTATTTAGGGAGGCATTTTGAGAAAAGATGTGCTGTACCGCGTGTTGTACCGAAAAACCACAATCTCACAGAAAGGAGACACCCAGTTTTTTGTTGTTTGTTGTTTCTCACATTAGCTCTAAAAAACAAAATTGGGAGCCCGTGGTCTCAAAACCCGGCATACACGACCCCACGAAGAAACAGAAAAAAATAGGGTACAAAAACCACTCGGAAGAGAAACAAAATGATAGAAAGAAAGACCAGCTACCGCACCAAACGAGAAAGAGCGTCGAGGAGACCGATCAAAATAAAATAAAAGGAGAACGGGGAACGCTTCCCACACCCGCACCCAGTATGTTATACCCGTTCGAGATGTTATCACATACAGCACATAGCAGTCGAAAGGGCTTTGTTCAAGTATTTCGTTACCAGTTGTTGATGTTGTTGTTGCTGTTGTTGTTGTTGTTGTTGTTGTTGTTGTTGTTGTTGTTGTTGTTGTTGTTGTTGTCTTCACAAATTACAGAGAGTGGGTGGGAGAAAGCCCCCAGAGACCATTACTTGACTCATCTCTGGTGAACGTGAACAGCAGATGAAAACAAAGGGAATTTCCGAATTTCCGGAACGTCTGCCGATCCCCCCAAAAAAAGAACCGCGCGGGACCGTCCGCTTGGACCAATCCCTGATCGTAGATTACCGGATGGGAAACGAATCACTTGCCTAAATGACGTCTGTATCTTGTTTCTTGCCGGCCAGAGGTGCAGACCTTCTTCGGCAGGTGCTGGTGACTGCCGGAGGGTGTCGGCAACGAAACTAAAGGTAGTAACAGCAGAACAGTAGTTACATACGTACAATGTCCCACCGCTGTAACTATCGTCGAAGGATCCCCACGGCTGCACCTGGTGCGATATGACGCCCGCCCTGCACCACCGGCGGAACACGAAGTGACAACAACGGATCAAGTCGGTGAGCAACTCGGCTGTTCGGTTTTTCATGTGATGGTGTGTGATTTTGTATTCGCGAAAAGCCAATCCGCGACCACCCCATGGCTGCAGGGCTACTTGACGTCTCCGTATTCGTCTGCCAAAGCAAGCTGTGGAACGCCGGTCTCAATTGGACAAATGGTCACAGGAAGGAGTAGCAGAGTAATAGGGATTTCGTGTGGCCTGACGTACACCGCGCAGGCAAGCGCGGGAGACTGCTGTATTTGCTGTGCTGGATGGATGAATACTTGCCGTTGTACGGCACCCTCAGCACCAGATATCACGTGACGTGCGCTGTACGTCCTGGTACTCACTAAAGGTGGTACAATATTTACATTATTCTGTGGTTCGTCTACATGCATAGATTACAGGCAGGATCGCCATCAGTTCATCAGCAATGGAACCCACCTATCCCACATGGATATTCGGCGCGGCACAGCAGTTTTGTCAGAGCTCGTTTCACCGCCGAGTGAGTCTGTTGCCTGTGAAAGACACCCTCATCCAGTCCGGGCGCCCCGCGACCCCGTTCCAACAGTTACAGACTACCTTGATTGTAGGCTACGGGCGAAGACGAAGATTATTTGTTATGTCTCCACAGTTTTCCTTTTAGTACTTCGAAATGCGTACAGCATGACAGGTGCCGCTGTCCGGGTAGTATCGGGTGTCGGATCGGAATCAATAGCGTAGACGCTGTGGCAGGGCGTCGGGTCGGAATCGAATTGTCGTTTGTGCTTGCCTAACGAAGTGCTCGCCCAGTCTCAACTGCGGAGCTGTGAACATTACTGTAGCCAAGACACAAACATGCCTGTCGCCTTCAACGAGGAAGCGAGAGTCGATTTTCTTGAACACCGCATCTATCTGCGCGCCGGAAATGGCTAGAGTACTGATTGGTCCGAAGTTCTTGCGGAGAACCGTCTGTTGTACAGATTTCTCTCCGCGAGGCATCACGAATCCTTTCACCTCACTCCCACATCATGAAACATTTCAGCACATTTGCACTTGACGAATGTCATTTCAGCACATTTCCGTGCTGGATGCCCTGTGCCGTAAAACCTCTGCTTGTGGTAAAGAAAAACGCTGTAGGTACGGCATGAATTGATTGCTGCTGCTTGCACCTACCGCTTCTTATTTTTTCGAACAGAATCTATCTAGAGCTATGGAAGAATGCACCGAATCTGTCTGTACGCTTTGTACGCAACCTGAGAAACAATGATTCGCTACTCGTAGATCGTGGAACCAGCTTCAGGGGGCCCTGTGCTTGGCCTTGGAAGCCTGTGGCAAACCCGCGTCAATCATTAGGAGAAACGAATATACACACAGAAAGACTACCCGTTCGAGGTATAACTACACTCGAAGGGGATGTGTTGAAGTCTTTACAGTGAGTAGAGGAAAACCAGCTGGGTACTTGACTTATTTCATCATGTAGACCAATTTGCTAGACGAAAGCCAAGGGCGTCGTGCGTTGAAATCAGTTCACACAACTCGAAGCTTGTCAATCGCAGGAGAAAAATAAGAAGGGAGCAAAGAGGTTACTCACGCTCTGTACCGACCAACCCGCTGTGTTGCACGAAAAACAATAATACCACTCTGCGGTCACACAAGGAAAATCATGCCATTTTGACGGAGATCAGAATTGAATGGGCCCGGGTAGCGGAGCTGTAGAGGGGCTCTTGCGACCTACCTCGTCCGCTGAGTTTTTTTTCAAAAAGTCCTCTCAAACCCTTGAGTAATCATCCTTCTGTTCATTACACCGCCTACAGCAGGATTTTTCGTCCAAGATGGTGATGGAGTTGCAACGAAAACGACGACGACAAAATCCACCAAGATGGCTAATAACGACCCTCCTCGCGACCGCCACTGCTTCGGCGACTTCTCCTACCGCGATTCTCGCGGAGAGTGTCGCCCCAAGGGTTCGAGCTGGGCCAGTCAGGGGCCCTCGTCAGCTAGCCAGCGCCAACGGCAGATACAGCACCACCGGAAACAGCGCTTCTTCAGAGGAATATGTGTGCCCTGGCGAGACGGCCTATATCGCAAACGGTGCATGCGACGACATGAACAACAACGTGTATTGTGGGTACGTGCGATGGTGCGGTAGACTGGAACGTTGTCGTGAAACACGAAGTAGCACCACTGGCAGCAGCACAGCAGCAGCAGCAGCAGCAGCAGCAGCAGAGACAGAGAGATGTAGGATACGTATTGTATTGTGGGTACGTGCGATGGTGCGGTAGACTGGAACGTTGTCGTAAAACACGAAGTAGCACCACTGGCAGCAGCAGCAGCAGCAGAGACAGAGAGATGTAAGATACGTACGATATCTGTGTGGCTCAGGAGAGGCATCTCCCGTTGACGTATGCGTCCGTTTCGGTCGCAAACAGTCCAACACCCTGCAAAATCACGCAATATGGGGCAAGCGCTGCATAAACGAAGGCCTTTACTCTCTTTATCTACAGGTACGACGGCGGCGATTGCTGCTCCTGCACGGCGACCGCAGCTTCCGGCAGCAGGTCGGCCAGCGCCTCTCCCCCTTCGTACTTCAACTGCGTCGACCCCGCCGCGGCTTGCGTTGGTGAAGAAAACGAAGACGGCGGCAGCGACGTCGCCGACGACGCGCAACAACGTTACTCCTCTTCCGGCAGAGCCGCCTCCGCCAGCGACGAAAGCAGCGCGTCGCGTCTGTCGGATTGCGTCGAGCAGTGGATCGGAGACGGCGCCTGCGACGACATGAACAATAGCGCGGAGTGCAGGTACGCCTCACGAGCAAGGTTCTATTTTATTGAGGCGCGGTCGTACCAGGACTGTCTCGTGATATTTCCCCCCCTGGTATTTGTAGTGCAGGAAGTGTGTACGGCTCAAAACACGGGCAGAATTTAATGGTGCATTTGCTGGTTGGATCGGCGATATCGGGCACGCGACGACGAAGACCTCGCAGCTCGACAACGACAACCACAGCAGGCGACCTCGACAACAAACCGCCGTCGTCCACCACTGGCGCCTCCGACGCTGTGCACGTGCGTCCGTTTTTGTTCCCCCCGCTGTACGCACACGAACCCGTTGCCACAACGATCTTGCGCCTGTAACAGCTACGACGGGGGAGACTGCTGCTCTGAGGACGGGGATTATTCGGAGTGTTTGGATCCGGACGCCCTTGCTGCTACTTCCTCTCCCTACTCGGAGGAGGAGGAGGAGGAGGAGCAGGAGGAGCAGGAGGAGCACGAGCAGGAGCACGAGCAGGAGCACGAGCAGGAGCACGAGGAGCACGAGGAGCACGAGGAGCAGGAGTCGGTGTTTTTTTCTTCTGACAGCAACACCGCACCGCCATCACCATCACCTCCACCGTCCAACGCAACGGAGAGCAGCGACCCTTCGCTCGGAGGGGAGCAGGACGATCCCGCCGTCTCGTCCTCCTCGTCTCCGCCGGGTGCGTCGAGCCGCGAAACCGTCGACAACAGCAAGCCAACCCTCGCGAAGGCGTTCTTCGGGATCGGGGCGGCTTGCGTCGTTGTGTCGGGCGTGGCCTTCCTGACTGTCAGCTACTTTCGCCTCGCCGAGAGGCGGAAGCAAGAGGTGGCGGCGGTGAGAAGAGGCTCGAGTCAAGACCACACCCAGGGTGATGGTGGGGATGGACGAGCATCGGGGAGCGCTCCAGCTGTTGCTAGTGCTGGCTTTCCTGTGACCGTAGCGGATTGACACCGCAGGGTCGGCGGTGTTCCAGCGTTTTTTCTGTCTTCGTTTTTGTATGTCTGGGGTGGATCGTTCGCTCTGGCATGGGAATGCTGCAGGACCTGTTGCTAGAAGAAGCTCCTAGCAGAAGGAGATACAGGACATCGCCGAACCAGAGCAGGATGGTTGGATTTTGCAAGTGGGTCGCGAGCAAGTCGTGTCCTTTCTGCCAATCGGGATCGCAAAACACGACGCCGACAAGAAGGGTATGAAACAAATGCTGTTCTGGCTGTGTGCGCTGGCAGCGATGGCCTTTTGTTCCCGTTTGTTTTCGAGCACGGGTCGTATCTATCCCCTGTTTGTTGGTCGATGCGGTTTGTGCACGAGTGTTTATGCACGATTCTCATGGGAATCGCGTTGTTTTTTCAGCAGCGTGTTTTGTTTGGGTGATGCCTTTTGGTGCGTTGAGCTTGCACCGAAAGGTTCAACCTGCCACCGGACTAGATGAGACTAGACCACACCCACGCATCGATGAGAAACGTCCCTTGTCCATTTCTTTGGTCCTGACTTCGTAGACGGTAGGTGAAAACCGTTGTTTTGCCTTCGCAGAACAGCCCTAGAGGAAGAGTTCGGGAATAAATCGGCCAGTATTCATCGTAGATTACAACCGCCTCTAAGGCGGGGGGTACCAGAGCTGGCGCCTGATACCTCCTTCGGAGTTTTGGTTCGGTGACCAGTCTCTGTCGTCACTGACGACACACAGGGGTTTTATTTTGTGGCAGCGGAGGTAGGTGAGCTGATAGACGGCGGATAGACAAGTTGGGCATCTCTCTTTACTTACTGACTGAATACGTACCGTTTTTTTTTATTTTATTCGTGGGTGCCGTGTGATATACTAAGCTTTACTCTGATGATACTAGTGGCACGAAAAGGTTGCACCAAGCAAATTTGATTGGATAGACATGTTGGTTGCACGCGTATTCAAAGTCTTTTGCGCTTGTGTTCCATAAGAGGTGATCTGAGTCGTCCGTGCTACAGTACGGTGTCCAGAGTTGCGGCGAGCTATCGCTCATGCTTGGGCGCGGTCTCTCTGTGAGACCTCCCACAAAAGCAACCACGGTCAATGTATTGTTGTGGTCATGTTCAACTGTAAATCAACGTGGGGATATATAAGTAGATGGTGTGTTGGGGCACCGCGAGCCCTTTTGTTTCTTCGGAGCGAATTCCCATCGAATCGGCCGCCATCCATTTCGGAGGCGGCATGTGCTTGAGCAATGTGCGCCTGTAGTTGTTTGGGAAAACTCTCCGTATGTGTGTGCGAGGAGAGTCTCCGGTAGGAGTGTACTTTTCTATGCACATATGCCTCGCGCGTGTTGCTGTGTGGTTCGTTCTCTAGGCTTGATTCATGTTTTCCAGCCACTTCGTGTATAATCTGGAGTTGTATCGAATAGCATAATGGTGCAAGCTAGGAGGATGGTGAAATTTTCTGGTGCATACGTTGCGGACGCAGTCACCGTTTGCATGAAGCGCCAGCCCTCCGCAGGGGGGCCAGGTGCCGTGTTCTTCCATGGCTTGGTCCTCGAACCGGGTTCTTCTCAGGTTTAATCGCTACGATGTCAAGTTTTCAATGGGAACTTTGGAGAACAGGTGCCATACAGGAGGACCGCGAAGCTACCGGGATAGGGCTGACTCCGGACAGAGTCAGTCCAAAAGAACCCTTGTGCCCGTCTTGAGTTGGAATTGGAATTTGACGAGGGCGTCCAAAGTAGTGCAGGACGACCGATAGAGCGATTCTAGCGCCTCAAGCGATACGGAAATTTTTGTACTTGTATTTATTTGTTCGGTTGCGTTCGACAGTATTCGATGTCAAACACATCCATCCGCGGGCGTACGGATAGGAGACGACATATCATACGTTCCGAAAATATTAACCAACGAATACAACACAAAGGTTTTTGCGGCTTTTACGGCCGACCATAGACCTCGAGGAGGTTGAGGCGGCGACGAAAGGCCTGGGGAACTGGAAGGCGGTTGGTCCCGACCTCCTTGCCGCCGAACTGCTCAAGGTCGACGGCGACGACGAGCCAGTTGTACTGGAGCGCCTCCGTGCCATCTTCGTCGAAGTGTGGAATGGGGGAGAGATGCCGCAGGAGTGGAAGGATGCCATCATTAAGGTGCTGTACAAGAAGGGTGACCGTTCGAACTGCAACAACTACAGGGGCATCTCGCTGCTCTCGCATGTAGGCAAAGTACTCGCCAAGACCATCACCAACCGCCT